TTCATGTCTGTCATTGTCTTGTGCAGGTTACGTCCCAGACAGCGGTGGTTTTGTCTACAGGAGGCTTTGTTTTGAGCCAACAGCTGGACAGAATGATTGGCATTCGTTTAGAGTAATTGACCAGTGGGAAAAGGGAAAGTTTGGAGACGAGGGAAAAAGAAGGAGAAGGAGGAGGGGGGTAAGTTGTGATCTAGGAGACACCAGACCACACAACCTGCAAGTTCAGGCTGATGGAGAAGCTGTGGCTTTTGTGCTTTTCTGCCTGGGCGCGTTCAGCCACGACTGACTCCTGTGGGTGTTGACTTAAGGTAGTAAGTGCCTATATGCAAGTGCACATGCATGCATGCACACACATGTCTATATTGTAACTATATACACAAATGAAGCCAGCAACTGTAGAGTGAAGATAATAAACAGACACTGGTTGACAATCGCCAAAAACTCTTTTCTGTTTTCTTATTTCAAAATCTGAAAAATAGCAATCTGCCAGAAAAATGTTTGCTTTGGTAACTTGGCGTATTATTTTCAAAATGTTTGCTCTACACAGTATGTCAGTGATCGTACACTTGTAAAGTTAGTGCTGTGTGGATTGCTTTATCCTCCTGAGATTAATCTATACCACATGGACTGAGCTGCCTTTTATATTGTTTATGTTTGTGTGAGTAAATGGATAACAGCAGCGCACAAAGTCATGTGTGTTTGTACCCTGTACACATAGCAGACCAGCATTTAGGCCTTAACAAGCAAACGTAAGAGATAGTATGTTATAGGTACTATTACACCATCTTAACATACATAACATACATACATAACTTACATACCAAACCAGAGAAGAACGAGCAGATTTACTAGCTGGGGGTCACTGCAGGCCTGTAATGTAAAGCCGGAGAGGTAGTGCTGATGGCGAACTTTAGCGCTAGTCAATGATTTCCTCGAGGGATCGACTCTGAGGCTCCACGGTGTGAAACGAGCTGTTTTCCCTCAACCCACTGCATTGGAAAATGTATATAAAGTAAATGTCACGGGCAATGGGAGGTGCTGAAAGGGAGAGAGAAAGGAATAAACAAACGCCGGTGTTACTAAGTGAAAGACAGTGGAGGAGGCGCTACGTGAGAGTGGGTCAGTGTTGTCTGTGAGGAGTGTGTAGAGGCAAGTGTGTAAATGGGAAAAGGCAAAGCTGAGCAAACATCAGCAAGAATCCGACCTCACATAGGATAATAATGACTTTTATATGTTGGTGTTGTATTCCACGTGTAATTGGTGTTGCTGTGCCAACACCTTAAACAACACGTCAAACAAAAACACCTACAGAAAATGGTCCATGATGTGAAAACACAGAGTTACATGATTTTACTTTTTAATTCAGTGTGGCAGTGATAGCATGTAAGTCACTTATGGCTATGTTTGTGTTGCTTCTATTATTGCACGCTTCTTAAAAGGGTTTATAAGATGCAACCAATCCCTGCCTTAGATCTTGGTAGTAGATAATTTTTTATATATTAATTATCAGACAAATTTAGCATTGCCAGGCCGGGATAAATTACGTTTTCTATTTGGTATTTTATATTTTGAGCAATAACGCTCTGATTGTGCCTATATAAATCTTTTGAAATGGGTCAAATGTTTGGACAGAACCACCTTATTTAAGACGTTGCCAGGAGCTCCTTTACTGTTTTTCTGACATTTAATAACCCACAATGAGTCAATTCATGGAAATCTATAGTAAATAATTGATTAACCCTTATTGTAGCCATTTGTAACAATAAATTATCCATAATTAGAAAGCGGTACCCTATATTTAAAAGAGAGTTGTTAAAGATGACGTTTGTCTTTCCACTTTTTCTCTTAAAAGTACTCATCGTGATGGGAAAACTCACAAATTAATGTCGTAATCAAGGAAAATGTAGGCTTGTCTGGTGGAGTACGGAAATAATAAATCTCTAAAGTCTCTCATGACACAAATTATTTCCTTTTGACCGAAGATTTCAAGTTCAGATTTGTAATGATTTGAGATTCAGCCCCTGTGCTGTTTTCCAATTGTCTTTTCCTCTCAGTGAGTTGAATGAGTTCATTTTTCAGCAAACAGCAGAGAAGATATTTCATTTTTTTCTGCAGATCACCATATTGGAATGTGTGGCCTTTTGTGTGACAGCAGGGGACATGGAAAATATGATCTTTAATTTCCATTAATGTTGAATTCAAGAGGAATGATTGACGTGAACTCTGCTATTAATCTTCTGAACATCAAAACATGGCATCCAGAATAAGATATTATATAGACAGAAACAATGAAATCAGTGTACATCTGTGATACTATTTGATTGCACAAAAGCGAGTCATGGCCAGTAGTTTATTCTCTGGAGATACATATGTAGTGTTTCTCCGCTCTCAAATCTCTTCCCTCCATGCTTTGCCTCCAGGCTGTCTTTGCAACTAGCTAGAAATATGCAAGCCGCAAACACGGTAGCACTGAGATCGGTGTCATGTCTTCTTTGGCCTCCCTCCAGCTCCTCTCAGACCATCTTCTTGTCTTTAACAGGCGGACGTCACACAGAGAGTTAAGGCCTGTCACTCTAATGGTCTCTTGTTTTGGCAGGCGTTTGTGCTTTTGGAAGATCTGACGCTGATATGAGTTACTATGCATGCCTTACCAAGGAATGTGCACATCATGCTGGTGGTATTGAGTAAATAGGAACACCATTTGTTGGTTGGATCTATTTGCTAAGTTTAATACACGTGTCAATTGTTTTTTTCAAGTTGCAGACGTGTAATAGCACACTGGCTCCTGGTGTGAATTTACAATATTTCTAGAAATTCACATGGTTTTTAATTTCCCACTGGTGTTTGAAATGAACTTGGGCAGGTACTCCACGTGGCGCCATCATTCAATCCCTGACTGCTTGCTTGCCATAGAACGTGCTTGTTGTGGAACGGTTGTCAGTCATATGTAACATACCGGGTCAGCTGGAACTGTTTCTTTTGGCCCTTTGAATATGTTTTCTTGGCATTGTTGGCAACGTGGATTTTAACAAAGCATCAGACACATAAGAGGAAAATGATATTCACAGCGAGACAATTTCGTGCATTGGGTACGCTACGCTCTGTACGCCTCAAACCATACATTTTTTTAACTCTCTAAGTGTGTTGGGAGAGCAATCTCTGTCAAGACGCAGCTTGCCAGGTTTCCATTTGAAAATTCATAGCTGTCAGACAAGTAAAGGAAAGGCAAACACACTTTGTAAAAAGGAAACCATTTGACCCAATCTGAAAGCAAATCCTGATCCTTCTTGATTTGACTGCTTGGATTTTTAACCAGGCCGTGAGTGTATCTTAAAGACAATATCATATAACATATGTGAACTATTAAGTCCATTTGTATTGTCTCGAGGGGAAACATTTCAGTCAGTTGTTGGAGTTATTAAAACGTTCTCTTGTTGAAGATCTCCTGTGACCTTCTGCTAGAGGCTGAAGTGAATATGAGTGGTGTCAGAATCCTCTCAGAAAAACAATAATGAAGTCAAAAATGTAAGTAATGTAGATCACTTATCAACAGTTCTGCTCCATTAACTAAACTGGTGTGGACATCCAGCAGGTGCTCTGCACAAACACATTTTCTTTCACAATGGTTGCTCAATCCAACCATGAGGCAGATTTCCTGTTTACTGTTGCTTTTTATTTGGTTGTTTCACCCTTTTTACATGCACAAAAGGATTTAAACAATTTATTTTATTGGCTTTATCATTTCTTTCATCTGTGAAATGTATCTGTAGAGACACTTGTAAAATTGGGTGCTTCGATTATTATTTTTCTTTTTAAAAAGATAAAAATGGAACACTTTATTATACAGCAAAAGGAAAAAGTAGAAGTCCTTCATGTTGTATTAGTTCAGCATTAGATAATGTGTCCATCCATACACAAAAGTGTCCTTTTAGTGTCTGTCTGCAAAGGCACATTGGCTAGATGTCGTGTGCTTTTGTGAGTTCTGTAAATCCATTTATTCTTCAGTTTCACTTTAAGGGTGTTAAGGAGGCCAGAAATTCCACATAATGAACAACTACGGTGCCAATCCTGTCAGATGGTGTGACCAAAATGGTCACAGGCTGACAGTCATGTCCCCTGTGTGTGTTTATGAAAGTAATGCTCTGCTCTCCCCATCACAACCTCAGAACGTTGGTCGTCGGTTTTGCCAGCTATGTGGCAGTTCTCGCTTTGTGTGTTTTATATACGCTTCCCTTAAATAAACTGACGAAAGGAGTCTAGCAAGTCTACCACATGTTCTCCATACCGTGTTTAGAACTGAATCTCCTGCTTGTTATATTTCAAATGGATCGCAGCTTTAAGGTCCTGAATACTGCGCTTTTGTTATGGGGCTTCTATAATGAGAGTGTAAATCCTGCTGTGTGATCATGTTTAAATCTATACAACACTGCTGTGAGTGACATCCCCCCCCCTTAGGACACGATATAAATATTAAACCAAGTATTCGCTGGCTACTGTTTCACATGCTTGTGGTATGACTGTCACGTTCACCGCGTGCCATTGTTTAGAACATGTCCCCACATAAACTGAATGCTTTCTTACGTATAAAATGTATAATCTCAATCCTAAATTCTCAACACATTAGGTAGTGAGCTGCTAGTCTTTGACTTCATTACTGTGTGAGGTCTAAAACGGGGACAAAACAGTGTCAGGAACTTCTTATGAAAAGTAAGAACTCATCCACCTCTTTGGAGAATTTGCTCTATCCACAGACACGCCTGTGCTGGAGGTTGATCTCAATCTCGAGCAAATGCTGATTTCCCCTGAACATTAACCACTGAACAGCGGAAATCATTTGAACATTAACCAAACTTCTGAGTATTATATGCCCCAGCTGTTTATGTAGTAAATCTTTGCAACTCTTATTGTTTATCCAGGAAGGTCAGCATCCTTTTATCAAGATGAATCCACCCCCTCTCTGTGCAGTGTTAACTGAGTGCCTCTGTGATCTTTCCCTCCAGGTTGACAGGTAATGAACCGTTTTCTAACCTGCCACTGAACTCTCTACCAGAGGAGAACGTGGGCAGGGCCCACTACAAGCTGTGCGACCGGCTCAAACTGGAGAAGAAGCAGCGCAGGATGTGCAGACGAGACCCGGGCGTGGCAGAGACCCTGAGAGAGGCCATCACCATGAGCGCCCAAGAATGCCATTATCAATTTCGCTTTGAGAGGTGGAACTGCCCCTTAGAGGGACGCCACCGAGCCAACATACTGAAGAGAGGTATATATGCCCTTTCCTTCTCTTTTTGAACTTGTAAAACAAACTTTGTCTCTCACAAATATTGCACAACTAGAAAAACAACTGAAGTGTCTTTGTATTTTACACTCCTGTGCTTAAAATGTAAAAACAGAAGTTGCACTAGAATCTTTTCTTTTTTTCCTGCCTCTCATTTGTTAATGTGCAATGTGTCTTTTCCAGGATTTAAAGAGACAGCCTTCTTGTACGCCATCTCCTCGGCCGGACTAACCCATGCGATGGCTAAAGCTTGCAGCGCAGGACGCATGGAGCGCTGCACGTGTGACGAGGCCCCGGACCTGGAGAACCGCAAGGCTTGGCAATGGGGAGGCTGCGGAGACAACATAAAATATGCAAACAAGTTTGTTAGGGACTTCCTGGGCAAACGCTCCAATAAGGACCTGCGCGCACGTGTGGACATGCACAACACAAATGTGGGCATTAAGGTAAGCTGGTGATTTAGCAGTGGTATAATGTCTTATGTGGCTCTGGAGGAGGCTTACTTAAAAAGAGAAAATGATTTAAGTGACATCTCTTTAAGAGACAGTTTTTGTATCATCAATGAGTAAAATGTCTAAGTTTTATCTGAAAGTGGTCACTCATTGAACTCATGAAAGGTCCCAATATATCTTAGCTTCTGCTTCATTGATTTTGACTGTTCTTCCTATCTTTTGTGATTCCCAAAACTGTGTTTAAGGGAGTTAACATTCAAAGGAAACAATACAAAATTACACAATACGTTTTTTAACAGATGTTCACCAACAGTACTCCTTTTTTGCCTTTTATTAAAGTCATAATCTGAAATGTAATATACCATACCCATGAGGCAAACCAGGACACAAGGAAAACAGTTTGAATGGGATCAGAGTTTATTTGGAGTCACAGATAGTATTCAAACAAACTCACACAAATCAGTTTAATGGTGGGAAAACTGTGATAATGTAATACAGAAAAATCAGTCAAGTTAAATGTATCTCCTAGAAACTTGGAAAAAAGATAAACTGATTAGACTAATTGCCATTTTAATATTGGTGAATACTCAAAGTGCTAGTTGGTCAATATTTGGTTTCCCTCCTAGATTACAGAGTGTAAGTGACTCACATTTGTGCTTTGGCAAAATTCTTAAATTGTTGGTGATAAGCAAATATGCAAATATTTTCATCTTGGAAGTGTTTTTAATAGTAAAATAAAAAAGTCGTGAATGGTTTTAGTTTGTCATGCCAAAGCAAACTTAAGGTCTGGAATCTGTTGCTTTTTCTCATATTGTAGCCATTTTCATTTTGGTTTCAAAATGAGTTATAGCAGAGGCACACTTCCCAAATGTTAGCAGATACAAAACTCTCCTCAAAGCCAAAGCAGGCTCTTCCTTTTCTGCTCGGCACTCCAAAATCCCTCTCTGAGGAGATTTCATTTGTGATAAAAGATTTACAACGTTGTTTTTGCTCCTTTTTTTCGTGGTGATTTGCACATGTAGTGAGGTACACCACAGTCGTTCGGGATGAATTCCCAAACGGAGGACGGAGCTGGAATGTGCTAGCCTCTGCATCCCCCCCGACATTAAAAAGCTGACCTATCAAATTTTTCTTGACCTGCTGGTGTGATGAATATGCGCTTCCTGTTCCCAATCTCTTTCACAGTCTGAGAAAAAGAACTGTAGATGCTATCCAAACTGCTAAGACAATGTGTTATTGTCATTGATTTTCGCACACACACTGCTTTTACTCTGTGGTTGATGCTGAAGGGAACTTTGGCTGACCACAAAGAGGTCAAGTTGTGTTAAAGTAACGTGCTTGTGGTCACTTTTGCTCGAAATGCCCATGTTTCACTTGCAATTATGTACAATTTTATATTGAGAGGACTTTTTCTACTATTATTTTTATTTTTAACTGACCCTAGTTTATTATATAATTACAACACTAGAAGATTTGGTTTATCAACTCTTTTCCATGGCTGTCCGAATTGGTTCTCTACTTGAGAGTGTTTCTCATAAAATCCTCCCATCACTTATCCTGATTACTATTATTGACTTGGATCAAAATGTCAGTTATGTTAACAAAAATCCAGCTTCCCACAAGGTATTATTCTTTGGCTCTTTGATATGGAGGCTAAGACAAAGTGTAACATTGTTCTCCTTTTGAATTATAATAATAATTGTTCACATGCAATATGTGAAGCCTTTGCTTTCCCGTCTGAACATGATATCAAACAGAGCAGTGAATGTAATATTGATAGTAATCATTTTCCATGGTGTCTTGACATTACCCCCAAACCACGGCAGTCTAATTGTCAGCATCTTTGGGTAATTTGGCTCTTTTAAATTCTGCTTACCAAACAAAGGCTCATTAAATGACATAGCATGCTTTAATGTTTCATGCCCGTTAACAATATTTCATTGTTTCTGAACCAGATAACCAAGGGAAACATCACTTGCAAATGCCACGGTGTCTCCGGCTCCTGCACCGTCCGGACCTGCTGGAGGCAGCTGCTGCCCTTCCACGAGATTGGCGCGAACCTGAAGCTGCTCTACGAGAACACCAGTAAGGTCGGCAGCTCCACCAATGAGGCCACAGGGGAGGGAGAGATAGCCACAGGCCGGAGACAGCAACAGCAGCAGCAGCAGCAGCAGCAGCAGCAGCAGCAGCAGCAGCAGCAGCAGCAGCAGCAGCAGGAGCAGCCGCAGCAGCAACAACAGCCGCCGCCTCCACCTCCACCTCCACCTCTGCCTGGCCCGAACGATCAGATCCCTCGCACGATGACCTTGCTCCACATCGAGGACTCGCCCAGTTTTTGTAGACCCAGCAAGTACTCATCGGGCACAGCGGCCCGTACGTGCTACAAAGACAATAACTGCGACGCTATCTGCTGCGGTCGAGGCCATAACACTGAAAGTAAGGAGGTGACTCGGCCTTGCCAGTGCCAGGTGCGCTGGTGCTGCTATGTCGAATGCAAGCAGTGCACGCAGAGAGAAGAGGTCTATACCTGCAAAGGGTAAACCCGTGACCTGTCAGCCCCTATGATCAGCAAGTGAAGATGGTGGTGTTGAAAAGGAGTGGCTGATTTGTTCTCAAACAAGGTTTTGCTCACACTGTCGGAACAATGTCCTGCTAACAAAAAAGGAGCAAGCCGATGGAGAAGCAATTAGCACTTTGAGGGATTTCTGTGGGTTTGGTTACAGAGGTCCTTTAGCCCCATGTCGGGGCTTTGCAGATCAAAATTACCTTCTCAGACAACTGGGTCAACATCTCAAGCTTTTTTTTTTATATCACGGCTTGCCTTGAAGAGAAAAGCTTTTTATTTCCTAAAATCCAATTGCATCTTTTCACAAGAAAACAGAGATTAGCATCCAGTAAATGAGGATCCAACACAAGGACAGTAACCCCAACAGACTGGTTTCTGGGGTTTTGCCCAAAGATGAAATGTGTGTGTGTGTCTGTTTGTCAATCTTTACATGTGTGTGTTTGTACGTGAGCATGTGATAGATGTTGAGGTGGGAGGGGGGTTCGAATGACGACTTTTATGGCAATAGAAACCATATTCAGAGACTGCTAAAAAAAAAAAAAAGACAGGGTGTAAGATTTACTCTACACGCACATATTTACACTCACACACATTGTGTGTTTGCATATGTATGTACATAAATGCAGTTATATTGTAATGATATTATACAAGCCACTTATCTAACTATGTTAAAACAAACCACTAACCACACAAATGTTATGTTGTTTGTGTGTTCTCGCTCGTTCTTCTTCTTGATTCATGTTGACAAGGCCCTTTGGAAAGCAGCACACTTTGTCCTTCGCTGTGGATAATTTATAGATCCTTTTGGACTACTTCTTCACAGGAGAAAAAATAATTTTTGTCGTAATATAATATGAAGATGTCAGTAAATGCATTAACAGAAAATAACTAAACTAGTCAGTTTAGGCTATTCTCGGCCTTGAGCGAACCAATGTTCAGGGAATAACTTAGACCACTAAAACTATTGTGATAAAATAGGAAAGAATTATTCCAAAAACATATAATTTCCAAGTTGGAGATGACAGTGGCCTTATTATATTATTATAGCCAATGCAACAGGGGACCAGCAAACGGTCCGCGTGTGACTCACATCAGAAATTGTTGAGCTGTGCGGAGCTTAAATCCATTTGTTTTATTTAACGTTTTATTCTTTGAAGTTGTAAAGAAAACTGCGGAAAACTGGAGGATTGTAGCCCCCTACCATGTCACAACCTTCTGTCCTCTTGCCGTGATTTGATTGAGCCATATTCAACACGTAGATCTGCAGCACGTCCAGTGGGAGCTGCATCGGTCTAAACAATGAGGGGCAACTGAGACATAAATCTAACTTGACGTCTCTGCAGGGTTGCTCAAGTGAAGATAAATAAGTCTCATTGTTTATATAAATATATTTTCTATATGACTTATATTTGTGTAATGTTCAGCCAATTAATGCCTAAATGCAAACATTGGGGTTTTGCAAATCAGCAATCTTTTCTCTGAAGTGAGTAAAGTTCTTAATAAATACAACTTGATATGTTTTTTTATATTGTTGCTTGGCACAAAGTGACACGGTTGACACAATGCAGCATACTGAACCCTGCCATGCAACTACAGTGACAATTTAGGTCAATAGTTTGACAATTGGGAAATACTCCTATTTACTTTCTTGCTGAGAGTTAGTGATTGATACTGGTCTCATGCTTAAGGACACAGCTAGCTGGTTAGCTTAATTCAGCATTACATCTGGAAGCACAATACATAACATTGTAATCAGTGAACTTTAGAAATGCTGTTTGGTAGATTTTGTTACCTGCACACAGAGCCAGGCTAGCTTTTTCTCCCTGTTGTCAGTCTTTAAGCTAAAATTAGCTAACTGGCTGCTGGTGGTAGTTTCATATTGGCTTGACATATGTGACAGTAGTATTGATCTTCTCATCTAACTCTCAGCTAAAATGCAGAATAGCTTATTTTCCAAAATGTCAAAACTATTGCTTTACCATACTATCAAAGGTTTAATTACATGAGAAATGTTTCTGAACACACAAACAATGCAGACAATAACATTTCATTGTATTCTCAGCACTTCTGAGAACATTACGTTATATACTATAAGATATGCCTTGGTGTGAATTAACTACTGAGTGAGGGACCCAGCTTTGTATTATAGCGCCATTTACGCACTGAAGCCCCAAAGCCCTTTAAAGTATTTTAAGATCTGTATTTATGGATACAGCGCAGTGCAGATTTTTTTCTCTTTTCTTTAAATTGTAAATAGTAACGGTTTCTTCTCCTGTGGTATAATGACAAAAGTGAGGCACATGTTCAACTCTCACAAGCAACTGAAACTGAAATTGGTAGCATTAAGAAACGTTAGGGTGAGACTTTTGTGGAAAAACACACAGCTGCTCTAACAAGACGATTACAGATTGTAATCAACGATGCAGCACCACGACAAACACTTACAAGTAGCTTTTACCTTTAAGAGATGGTTAAGTCTTTAAAAATGATTACCAGAATTTTTAAGAAATTAAAGCACAGTCCTTGACATGCTTTATGAAGAAAGCCTTGCATGGAATATTTGTTCGGAGGAGATGAATTCCAAGCATTTTGATATGAGGAGGCATGCCAAATAAAGACTGGTCAAAACATATACATAGAACTTTGCACGCTACATGGAAACCATAATAGCTATGCTGAGACCTGAAGCACAAATGCCTGCTTCCCACAGCATTCGGTGTGTGCGTTGTCCACACTCCTTCGCCTAAACACACTGAGGTTCTCCACTATCGAGCGGATTCAAAACAGGCATGACAGGAATACCAAATGCACACTGAGTGCATTTTTGTTTGTTTATAGATTGTACATAGGCCCAAAACATTTCGCCCAAAAAAAAGGAGCATGATGCAGCAGCCAGTTGGGCAGTCATCCATATTCTCAAATCCAAAACTCTGCACTGTTGAGTCGTCAATGGATCATGTACAAAATTCTGTTTTGTAGAAAAAAAAAAAAAGATAAATTATTTTTAAATATATTATGAGCATGTGTTTAGTGTAAATAACGTCAAAGTCTAAATTGATTTTATATCTTGTATTTTTTACTCTGTTTTTCCTTTGGGTGTTTGTTCCTAATTTTGGGGTTGAGGCTTTGAGAAGCAGTGTATACTTTGAACATATTGCATTTCATATCTCATCATTCGCTGTTATCTAAGCACTAACAAATCCTAACAAACTTAGAAATAAACTCACTTTAGCCGTCTTTTATTCATGTGCACGATCATGACACAGTTTTGAGAGTATTCAAACACAATCACAGTCATCAACAATATCTTTTTTATAGGATTAAATCTGTTTGTATAATCAACTATTTTTGTGAAAGTACTTTGTAATGTCGGCCATCACCATACAATGCATTATAAACTCATGATTGTATCGTCGTGGACTAGTTCCTACAACCTTTGGATCACTTTGCATCTACACGTACTCTTTGTTAGGATTTGTACTGTGCTTGTAAAACACATCAACCATGTATTGCTCTTTGTGATGATACTACACCAGCAAAGCTTCATCCATGTTCACTTATTCATGTCTTATGGGAACCCTAAATTATTTTTCCTCTACCTCATGTGTATAGCTTGTAGGTATAAACAGATCACAAATGACTGGTAAGAATGTATTTAAGTTATTTAACATCTTTGTATAACAAAGGCGAAAAAAATCTGAAATAATAAATGAATTTTTAAATTATTTCATGTGTGGTTTCATTCATTTGTAGTGCTTTGGAGGCATTTCGTTTTCAGCCTGTCCTCCTACAAAAAACGACCAAATAGGTCGATTGTTCAGCAGCTTATTACGACCCATAGTCACGTTTTAAAGTGTAGCACCTCTAGTGGTCGTGTAAGAAACAACATGCTTTTTGATTAGATTTCTAGCGAGAAGTGTATATTGTACTTTTAGAATATACGTCCAGTGGATGTGTAGGATCTATAGTTTGATAGATATTACGAAGATGATTTGAGGTTTCGCCAGGAGAACGAACATGTACTACGTCTTTACGCAGCGTTCCATGTAAAGTTGGCGTCAACCCTCACGGGGTGAAAACAGTATTTCCGGTCTAGAAGTTTTCATAATAAAACCGGAAATATTCCCCTCACTGTCAAATGATTACACAGTGATATCTGCATTACTCATCCACTAAAAAACATCAGTTTATCCTTGTTAATTACACAATATTGATTGGTTTAAATTGTGTGCAATGCTTTTGTGTTTTTAACCTTCCATTCGGAGAAACAAATAGTTTTTTCGGAGTTTAGACACTACAGAGTTTCCGAAGACACTACACTACCCAGAATCCTCAGCTATCGTTTGGGACTACAACATCCGCTTTCCTTTACAAACCCTGTGATTAGGGTTTATTGTGTTTCGCAACATGTTCTATGGCACGTCTCTACTGGGAATTGTAGTTTTAAAAGACGTTTTCGTATTTCCCATAATTAGAAGTTGCCAGTGTTAAACTGTGTACAGGGGATACGAAACACATTGGTGTTATCAAATTTAAAACCATAATTAATAAATGGGTGAAAATTGCTTGTGTCCATAATGGGCAGCATTAATATACCCACATGACAGCTAAGGTCATAAGAGTTTTATTTAACAGCTGGTCTTCTGTCTGTGACCCCTCCTGTTGTTAATTGATAAGCCTGAAACATGCACTTGTCAAGGTTCAGAGGCAAATTTTGCAAATATGGCACATAGCCATCGATCATCTTAAGATAAGATAAGATTATATACTTTATTGATCCCAAGTTGGGAAATGTTTTTGTTACAGCAGCATGTACTACTTTGTTCTACTCCACTACAATTCAGAGGTTAACCTGGTATTTTTACTCCACTAAATGTATTTTAGTTACTTTGCAGATTCTGATTAATGATATGAAATATATACAACCCTTAAATCATATTATACACCACATTTCTGCAAACATAGACGGTATGCTGACAACAACTCACAGACTTTACTAAACAGATTTACATTATTACACTAGAAGATAACTGAAGGTCCACTTTCTGACTCATTATGGAGTTTTAGATTGTATCACAGGCTTAAGTTTGATAAGTTGTCATTCAAAATCCCCTATTCTTTCAATTGATATTGACCTTAAAGTGATGAAGTCGAAAGCTCCTGGAAAAGCAAGTTAGTTAAACTTGAGTTGAGGTTGTTTTGTCCAAAGCTTCAATTAAATTGAACAAATTAAAACACTTTGTGTACTTGATATTATTCATACATATTCTACAGGCAAAAACAGGCACAAAACCATAAAAGAAACACGGCCATTTAGGGGTTTTCCCCTTTGCTACAGCAGCAATTATGATGGGAAATGACCAGAAAGCCTCCTGTTTAAATCCGTGAACTGGCTGGGAAAAGATCTGCGGCTCATTTTTTGATAGTGACTGCAGCAAAAAACGCCTGCCTTCTATGTAATCAGACGTCATTGTTGAGGTTAAGTGTTTATGGGAACCTGATCCAGACGTTCTTGGATTTTCACAGTTTCATGCAGGATCAACCTAACTTTGCTATTACTTTTTATATTGATTTAGTGTAAACTGATTATCAAGGCCCCTGTCATATTACACTGCACAGTACCATGGCAGTGATGTTTTAGTTCAACGTCAAAGTAACTATGAAACTCATTAGTGCAACATTTCTGTTTTGGTTTTGCAGCGTAGGGACGTACGTATGTGCCGGAGAATTACCCTGCTGAACTGATATTATTTCAACAGGCTCTATTCCCTCAACAGATGACTGGAGATTTCAGGGAGTTTTCTCTCTCAACAATGTTGCAAATGTCTTGCGGCCTCATCATACAAACTCTGAAGCTCGACTAATCCAGGAAAAAGGGGCTTTGTGATCCGGTGCTGTGAATAGGAACTTCAAATCCTGTTGAGAAAACAACACACAATTATGGTGTATATCTGTTCTAATACCTAAAACATCAGTGGAAAAGCCCTCGATATCCCTTACGCGTGTACCTAAATAGCAGTGCAGGAGAAGCACCCTCTTGGTGTTAGCTATTCCTCCCATGGGTCCTAGCTGCTTTGCTCTGAGAACCTGAGAGGCTTTAATGTACCCCGCTGCTGGACCCCTCCTAACTTCCTGCCCTGTACCAGGCTCTAATATGAGCTGTAACTTTGTGGTGCGCTGTAATCCGACAACGTTTTGACAGCTGTTACCATGAAGGAAGTGGGTGCAACAAAAGCACATACTGAAAGAAAATCAAGCAAACTTTGCCCCTCGACCCTACTCCTGACTACCTCCCATTCCCACTCTCATCATCTGGTCTGCTCGGACATGCTCAGGGCTGCAAAGCAAGAGTGAATAGTGAGATAATTCTTGGACTGCTGAAAAAGGCAGATGATTTGTTGTTCCAGCATCACCCCGCTGCACAGGATGTAAGTGTGCTGCTTTAGGGAGTATGTTGGTCAAGTTGTGATAGATATGGAAAGGTTCATCAAAACCCTGTAACAATAATAGTTCAACATTTCAGCCTGCTTTCTTGCCCAGAGTTAGTTGAAAGATCCATACCACTTCCATGTCACTACAGTTAATATGAAGCTACCAACAACTTAGCACAAAGACCAGAAAGCCTGGCAACTTTAATTTGACGTAAGACATGAGGAAGTAACTGCGTGGGGCAAATAAATACTCTGGCACTACCTCACCCAAGAGAGCTGTTTATTGTTGTGCCCAAATTTGACTGACTAACTAATGCTTGTTGTGCCAGCAACTGTATACTTTATAGTGTATTTTATTACATTCAATTATTTCATGAAGAAGATAGTTTCCTTTTTTTCCCTTAAAGAGTTTCATGGTGTCACAATAACATTAATGAGAATCCAAGCATTAAATCCTCAAAGACAAACTCACTGGCTAACACATGTGTGCTGAGCACTATGAAAACACCTTAGCTCATGCTGCAAGTCTGTGGAAATCACAGATTTATGATTTTTTTCAGCATGTTGGGAAAAAGCTAGTTCCTCTCTGGAAAGTGTGATATGGGTCTGAAGGGTATGTACCTTCCTCGCCTCCTTCCTGTGCCCTGCCCAATAGCTTACCCTGTTTATAACTGTTTTTGATTGTTGTTAAGTACCTGTCAAAGCTCCTGCTTGTCCCTCTCCTTGGAAAAACATGTGAGCTCAGAATCTCTCAGTACAGGAGTGAATTAAGAAAATGCAGTGCATTGGGGAAAAATACTTAGTGTACCAAACACTTATATCTGGTGGTGAAAATCTGCTGTTAAAACAAGGATGACTTTGTTTAAATCAGCATGCTCACAGTCAGTCAAGTTGAGTGATAAACTTGATGGTGATTAACCAGAGACACATTTAATTGATGTACTTCTTGAGTATCAGCAATAAGAACTTAATAATGACTTCAGTTATTATAGGACAGGCTGCTCAAATGATTTAACACCAGGAAGAGCATTCAAGTGTAATACATATCTAACATATGTCATGTGTTCAAATGCACTGGGAAAACTATCAGTGTTTTTGGACTGCCTTGTACTGGAGGTCCCTGCTCTTTTTCTTTACTCGACTAGGGAGACAGCCTTTGCAAATGTCCGAGGCCGCCCCATAAGATGCGATAGATAATGATGATAACTGGCTCAGGAGCTTTTCAACACTTACTCACAATCATAAAAATGTCAGCTTCACATGACAAAGCTCATTTCTCAAATAGCCCTCCTTCTGTTATAATATGCTGCTCCTCTACTCTTGTCCAAATGAAGAATTCAATACAGCTCATAAATTGTAAAAAAAACCTGAGTCGACATTTTACTTCTGGAAAAATAGAATAATAAACAAACAAATTATTCTATAAATAATAATGGAGCATGTGTTTCTTTCATTGGTAAAACATGCTTGGACAGGGGGAAAGCCCTAGGGACCCCATAGCTAGGGGGATGGGATAAACATAGATCTGCTCAGACGCCTGGGTTTTTTGGCACGCCTGCTGCACTTGCAATAGCACCAGGAGAGTTGGAGCACTTGCCAGGAGAGGTGCAGGGTTAGAAACATTTTATTCTTGAGGAAATTCCTCCTATTACTCCATTATTCATCAGAATCTCTGAGGATATGGATGCTCTAACTGCTCTAGCAGAGGCCATTCGGAAGAAAACAGTTCATCATGGTAGATATCCGAGACAAGAGAGTGTTTTGATGTATCACCAGTAGGATGTATGTGATGGACTTATACTCCTCAGTCCATCAATTTACTTGGACAGTAAGTACTTTGGAGATTGCTCAATGGATATTCAATACCATAACTACACAACATTAAATGTCATAGCAGCCATTCAGAATTGTGAAGGAGAAATGTTCTACAACCAGGCCACCACCTGTTTTGTCTATCAGGAATTTCATGAAATATTAACTACTGGGACAAACTGTGGGTTTTGTTTTCTCCCAAAATGTTGATGTTATATAAGAACACAAGGGAAAGTTGTCCAGCAGTGAATCGAGGAGGACCTGGAAGTTTCTATCAGCAGCTGCGCTGACCTACGACCAGTCATTTGTGTCTGCGTGTGGGGTGGCGATGCGGAAATTAGTTGTAGTTGTGGTAACTGTGTGTGTGTGTGTTGGTGGGAGGGGGGTTACAATGGGAGGCTGATGAAAGCGAGGGGGTTTACAGAGATGGGCTCTGAAGCTGCTGTCCAGCTCATGCTTCAATTGTGCAGTAAAGATTCCCC